GAAAACCTGCGCGCCGCTCGAAGAGCAGCTGAACTACATGGGCTCGACACGTCTGGGTACGAGACCAGTCGGTTTCCATTCACTGCTAAATGCGCATTTCAATAACTATCTCTTATTGTAAGATGATCAATGATATGTCATATAGTTTGAAATGACCCACATGCTACCTCCCCCTCTAAGACATGCCGAAGCTGACAGTAATAGTTACGGCTGCATTTCTCTTTTACGCTAGGCTAATCTCGGACGTATATATGAGGTGATAAAGCGCACGTATATACGCGTTTAAGTTCTTGTCAATTACGCGGCGTTGCGATGGCATCAGCATGAGCTGTGAGTAGTTCACATATGATCTGGACGTCTACATAATGGCACTATTTTTCTGTTTGGCATCAAAATGCTCATGTAGTGCCACAATAGGCACGTTATTCGTCGACATGGGACGACTTAGTGGCTTTACTTAACGCGAGCGCTCCGAACTTGCCTCTCGTCCCATTTGCATTGACTAAGCTGTACCCCGCTGCATTCTTGACGAGCTGCTTAGTACTACGTGGCGCCAGTCCCACTATTGATCCGCCTAGTAGTCGGCACAGCGCAGCCCCTGGCTGTCACTTGCGTGTTCCAATGGCACGTCTGTCTCCAAGAGTGGTTCGGAGAGCGATCTTAGTATTTAATGAACCAACCTCCGTTGCGATGAAGCACAATTCCGTCCCTGACACAAAGTCACTCTACTTCCATTGCATATTGTACCGATGCCTTCTTATGCAGTTGTTGGTGCTTCTCGCGGCATCGGACTGGAGATTGTTCGCCAGCTGGCAAGTCCTATCCTGATATACTCTTCTGATGCCAACTGGCTGACGTTGGTATAGGCTATGAATCCCGTCAACGTCGTCTTTGCCCTCGTCCGAGACAAATCCAATTCGCCGCATATAAGTACCTTGGCTTCTTCGCACGTCAATGTGTTTGTTGTAGAGGCAGATGCCATTGACCATCGCGCGTTGACGGTGAGAAGAGACTCTTCGAGCAGGACGAATCTGATACAGTTTTGCTTTAGGCTGCCGCTGCAGAGGCCGCCAAAGTCACTGGCGGGAGCTTAGATGTCCTCATCTACAATGCAGCACACATGGACATCACATACTTGTTCCATAGCCTAACCGACTAGTACGTTCCAATCCTTTGCAGCTGGAGCAGCTGTGTACTCAATTAACAATCAACAGTGACAATGGCGATCAGCTCGATACGGAGATCACAAAGGCAGTGCGTACCTGGTAACCTTTCCATTGCGTATTTGTTAGATAACCTCTTCTGTAGTTTAAGGTCAATGTTCTTGGTGCCGTCCACTCTGTCAATGCCTTCCTCCCGCTGCTGCGTGAAGGAGCAACAAAGAAAGTGCTAATAATGAGCAGCGAAGCTGGGGACCGCGAGCTCACACGACAAATCCAATTCTCCACCATGGGAGCATACGGACTTACAAAGGCCGCTCTTGACATGGTCATGGCGAAGTATGCTGTGCAGCTGAAGAAAGAAGGCTTTACTATCTTTTCAGTGAGCCCTGGACCTACAGACACAACAGATACAGCTACTCAGACCAGTAGGTTTTGTGTCCTTCGAGGTCAGACGACACCAGTTACTTATTGACAATCGTGATTAGCGATCGCAGCATCAAGGCCGGAGTTAGAGGAGTTAATAAGACAATGGAAGGAGGTAGACCCTAACCTGGATCCTACACTGAAGCCCGTTGATGAGATAGTGAGGAAAATGCTTAAGCTCCTCGCTTCACTGGGTCCTGCGGACTCGGGTACTTTCCGGCCCTCTGAAGAAATCCGTGCGATACAGATTTAGGATGTGCAGATCTTTATATGGGGAATGAGGCCAGACTTGTGGGTGCTGGTCGAGATATCTGTCATACAGGATTATTGAATAAATGAGGATACATATCACCACGCCGAGGTTGTGATATACTGGCAAGCAAAGTACAAGAATTAGCTGCATAAAGCAGGCTAACCGATCGAACATTCCTAGATCGTCTCTTCCCGCATAAGTTCGTACATTATAAGCACTGAACAGGCTGCTCACCTTTGAGAACCAAACATCCGCTCTTTGCTCAACACTACCCTCAGCGTGTGGAGGCCGACGAGGATCAAAAACCACATCCAAGATTCCTAAACCCACGACCTTGCCATCCTGGACGTCGAACTCGACCGGGACCTCCATGCCTCCTAGTTGTTTGTATGCAAACGGTGTAGTATCTTTGCCGTATCCGTGAGGAAAGAGGACACAGTATGATAGCAGGAATATGTTCTTCTCGTGATGCCGCAAGCGAACGTGAGATGCCCACATGCGCCTCCAGGCTGTGTAGAGGGCTACACCGTGGTCGTCGAGCTCAGAACAACTTGCGAAGTTGGCAATGACTTCACGAGCATAGCTAGATTCAGTCGACGGAGTACACAGAGTGAAGCTGCCGTAAGCCGGGTTTGTGAACGTGCCGGTGTAATGTTCAAGAGGTAACGGGACTACTCGTACTGCTTTCTCTTCAGTTGAGGGAGGATCAGATGGAGCATTCGGTTCTATCTTCGTTTCGGCGGGCGCTTTCGATGGTGCCACTGGTACATATTGGTCAAGCAATGCGTCCGAGGCATGCTTGAGTTCCAGAAGCTCTTCTATGATGCGATATGATGTTAAACGATCTGCCCTGTGCTCGCCGTCCATATTTGTCAGTGCAACGACACCAATTCGTTCTAAGGGCAGAATTAACGTGATAGTCTTGATTCCCGGGATCGCTCCTGAGTGACTGACGATCTGCGATGAGATGACTTATCAATAGCTTCAACACGTGTAGTAACCGCAGTAATATACCTCATGGCCTAAGTAAGACTGACGCGACCAACCCAAACCATAGCCTTGGACAGACGTATAAGCATTAGGTCCGACATGTTCGGATATATAATGCGCCATCGTTGTCTCGTCTAGAACAGCCTCTGGCATGATTCTGGTCTTGGTACTTGGGTCGACACCACGATTCAAAAGCATAGCCATCCATTTGGTCTGCAAATATTGTATCAGCGTCAAGGCTTTCAAGTTCATCCATGACTAACCATATCTACAACATTTGAAATGAGGCCACCGGGTCCCGCAATTGTCTCTGCAACAGTGTCTTTGAGCCAAGGGGGAATGAGTCGGCCTGTAGACGCCCAGGACTGGCTCAGTTGGCCGGTCTTCTCAGCTTCCGAAAGAAAATAGGTAGAAGAATGCATTCCCAGGGGAACCAGAATGCGCTTCTTGACGAAAGTTGTAAATGACATTCCAGAGTAAATGGTGACAATATGTGCACCCATGACATACATCTGCAGTAGATTAGCGACTGGATTCACTATTGTACAAATAAATGAGTGTGGAGCTTACCTGGTTGTTATAGCAATACCGTTCTCGAAGCTCATAGGTCGACTTTAGGTGGCGCATGCGCTTGACAATGTCCAAGGCACTATCAGTGTCGCTGTATGCAAGGTCGTGCCTACAACAGGCAACTCAGAGTTTAGTAATAGAAATGTTTGGTAGTACGAACCCAGCAAGACCAGTAACATGGGCCAATAGGTCCCGTATGTTCATCTTTGCATACGTCCACTCATCCTCCAACAGCCACTCGTCGCTAGGGAATAGGTCGCAGACTTTGGTATCCCATGTAAAAGCGCGCATACTCGTGGGTAGAGGTATTGCATTCTGTCCTTGTGCAAAGTCATCCATTAAGATTCCAATAGCGCTAGCGAGGAAAGCCTTGGAGCATGACGCTATATAGAACAGAGTCTTCAAAGGGGTCAATGTCGTACACTTGGTATAAAGACTAAAAGTGAACACTCACATCAGGTGTTGGCGGATCGCCATCCTCGTTGACTTTTCCCCATCCGCCAAAATCAGTTTGAACCTCCCCTGCGTCTGTCACACGCACTACGCCCACACTCATCCCTGGAATGTTCCATTGACCCAAGGCCTTTTCCGCAAATGTCGATACTGTTGGAGTTATAGCCCATTTGACTGCTGGAGATGTTGACAGAGGTGAATCAATAGCAGCCATATCAAACTGGGATGATGGGTCACGGCAAGGAACTGTTGTTGGACCCTTTGACTACACCAGTTGTGCATAGCAATCAGTCGTGTGGTTCTTCAACAGCTTCGACAAGATCTCTCACCATTCAGCTGCGCGCAGTACCATGTTTGACAGGCCTGGGCGCGCGATGGTTATCGGTCACTGCGTAAACGTTTCCTTTGCCTTGCTATCATGACTAGGTAACCGCAACGTTCAACTTCAATCTGGGACGGTGCCACATACTATAGATTGCAATGGTGGTGTAGACTGACTGAAGCCTACGGCCCGCCAAAACCCGATTTCTGATAAGTCGATGCCGACCAGATGCCGAACCGCTTTCGAGCGTGCGCTCTTGCTTTCATGGGTTACTGTGCGTCCCAATACGCTGGTCTGGGTGCACTTCCGATGCTACTTGAGAGGGAAAGCTCTGGGCTTCGTTGACCGATGACCGCTCAAATGGACAAATGGACTGGACGTTTGAACCTATTCCGACTCTTGACTCCCGAGCCAAACTTTCCTCGAACTTTACAAGTGTCCATGCCTCCGGCAACTTTGTTACTGGGTTGAAGACATCGACTATTCGACTTGAGCCAATAGTCGTAGGCTTTTCCCATCTTCATGCTTTCTCGACATCGGCCATATGGAAGTACTTTCTCGACACCAGCCGTACAGAAGCCGTAGCGCAGAAGTGTATTCGAGCACATGCCGTTTGCTGACTCTTGTTGGACCTCGTGGGCACTGCACATGGAGCGGCGGTATCAGCTGTCCATTAACCTTCGTCCTAGTTCTTGTTTGGATTCGCAGGCCTGATCCTATATTGTTATAAGCCAGCGGCGATGCTGGGTTCCTCGCCAGCCTTCCTGACGCTATGGCAGCTGGCGAAAGACTGATGTTTCTTGCATTTTACTCACTCGTGGCCGTGATGCCACTAGTATTCGCTGCCTCTGCACAGGACTGGCAGAAGCGGTCAATTTATCAGGTGCGTCTCAATTGCTCGTCATGCGACGTCTGCATCAAGTTGTTGTTCATCTCTACCAAATTGTAGCTTGTGACCGACAGATTCGCGACGACGGATGGCTCCTGGCCGTACTGCGATACCGACGATCGCATTTACTGTAACGGAACATGGCAGGGTATCATAAGACAACTGGACTATATCCAGAACATGGGTTTCGACGCCATCTGGATCTCTCCAATCGTGGCTAACCTGGAGGGAACAACTGGAGATGGGCAGGCGTACCACGGGTGAGCTCATCCTTGATGGCTTTTATAACCTTTTCTCCATTATTGATGAATCTCGATAAGTTATTGGACTCAAGATCAAACCGCACTCAATAGCCACTTCGGCACACAGGAAGATTTGCTCATGCTCAGTTCAGATTTGCATGCACGGGGAATGTACCTCATGATTGACGTCGTCGTAAATCATATGGCGGCAGACACGCTTCCGCCAGACTATGCTCTTTTCACACCATTCAACGAAGAGGCCGATTTCCACCCCTTCTGCTGGATCACGGACTATAATAACCAGACGAACGTCGAGCAGTGCTGGCTCGGCGACGATAACGTCCCACTCGTGGACACCGACACCGAAGACGACACGATCGTGAATTTTTTCTTGGACTGGATTGCTGGGCTGGTGTGCACATATGGCGCAGATGGTGTGCGGATTGATACAGTGAAGCACATTCGGAAGGACTTCTGGCCTGGTTTTGCACAAGCTGCAGGCGTGTTCACGATTGGAGAGATACTGGACGGCGACGTGAACTATGTCAGCGCATACACCGGTACGCCCACAGTTTCGCAACACCACTGCTTCCGGCCAAGCTCATGGAATCAGAGGTACTCGACGCGGTGCTTGACTATCCAACGTTTTACCAGTTAACATACGCGTTCGAGTCGACCAGCGGCTCGCTATCGAACCTCGTCTCCTGGGTGCAGTCTGCGCAGTCGACGTATAAGAATGGCGAGTTCATGGTTGGATCGTTCCTCGAAAACCAGGATAACCCACGCTTTCAGTCGCTCACCACGGATCAGGCGGTGAGTACCAAGCTGTCAAGAATTCCTCATGCTTATCACATCGTCGGTAGCTCGTCTCGAATGCCATGACCTGGCCATTCATCCAGGATGGGATCCCAATATTGTACTATGGTGCGTTTTGATCACTTGTACAAATAAACTATACCGACTTTGTCGTATGCACAAGGTCAAGAGCAAGGCTACACTGGCGGCAACGATCCATCTAACCGTGAGGCGTGAGTACCTCAATGAACCACCCAAACGCCCTTGGACAGTTCACATCACCATTATATAGGCTGTGGTTATCTGGTTATGTCGAAGATAAGCCACTTGTGAAGCTAGTGAGGGTTCTCAACGCTGCGCGTAAGGCTGCGATTGCGGCGAGCGCCGACTTTCTCACCACTGCTGTCAGTTGTCCTTCACGCATCATCGGGGGTATTGTATCGTGAAACTAACTTATTGAATGTAGCTTACCTTTCCCTCTGTAACATCTTCCACACTTGCTGTGTTGAAGCCGCCGATGCTCTCCCTGCTCACGAATGGCGGGAGTGACTCGACGCCTTGGTGGAGCGTATCCGATTCAGGCTTTTCTGCAGGAGATGAACTCATCGATGTTCTCACTTGCGACACATTGAACGTGGACAGCAACGGGGGCATCAGCGTGCAAGGCATTGGTGGCATGCCCAAGGTGCGTCAAGCTCATTTACTCACAGACGGAGTATAGGAAAACGCTTTCATCCAAAGATCATGATGCCTACGTCCGTGTTCAATGCGACGTACTGCAATTACTTTCTGGGGTCGTATTGACATCGTGCAGATGCGATTGGCCATAGCTTGCCTGTGATTGGTCCTTCGTACACCAGTTGATCGGAGATGTTGGCTGCGCCAAGTATCAACAATTGGCCAGTTTCAATGCATCCCCTGGCGTCGATGTTAGTATTGGCCTACAACCGAAAAGGCCCCTTTCAACTTAAGTCGGCTATACTGTTCTTGGTATTTTGTGGTCCTGCATAGTCGTATTTGTGCTAGCTGATTCCAACGATTGCCTGATCTTCTCCCTTTCCGAGACTTATATGTACATAGATGGCTCGTGCATCTATCTCATTCACTCGCTATGTTCCGGTGCTTTATTCCTCGGGTCTCTATGTGCGTCATCCCCGTAGAGCTTCTCCGCCAACTCATGCTGTACGTTCCCTCGGATGGATCTCTGCGTGCCGGGCATTGTTTTGCTAAATATTCAAACATTCTTGCACAATGATGATAAAACTACATATGGGTGTGGACCATATCACCGCGTGCTATCACAATCGGTGACTGATATCTAAGCTACAGATGCTACATTTCTGGGGAACGATGGTCCCGATCTACAACAATAACGCAGCTAGCAGCGTGACCAGCAGCTGCCAACTCGGTGTTCTCTTCCTCAACGGCCCTGCAGCGGAGCTAGCCCCCTGCGCGGAGCTAAGACTGGTACTCGCATCACCTTTCAGTGTGGTGCAAAAGCTCTTGCTGAATATTGACACTGGCAGGATGACCTTCGCGTTCCCAAGTCAGTACGACGGGCGCTGAAATGCTGCGATGTCTTGAAAAATAACGGACCTGTGGCATCCCTTTTGAGCCTTGTACGCTCACGCCTCCTTCTTTGTTCGCGTTGATCACCATGCACGAGACGACGTCGATCAGCTCCTCATTCGGCGCGTACCCCGCGTCCGGTACATTCCAGGACGGGGTGGATGTGCTCCCTCCGTTCGAGAGCAGAGTGAGCATCGGAGACTTCGAGATCGCGAGCGAGGACTTGGTTGCGGAGAGGAACTTGAGCTATACATCAATGTTCGAACGTCAAACCCCTTGCTGCAAATTAGTGTTCCTGGACTTACGGTGGTGTCGATAAACTGGCCGTTCGCCTTGATGGCGGCTTTGCGTGCAGCATTCAATGTGCGCACATGGACAACAAGTGGTTTGTTCTCTTCGTATCCCGAAAGCCACAACCTGTATATGAAGATGCAGACATCGATAGGGACCGAGTGAAGACTTGAACGCACGCTTCACGGTTGGCTGGGTCATTGCCGCCAGTATAGCCTTGTTCCTGACCTGGGGCGGCATGCTTTGAGTGCAGTGGGCTTTACTTGATGATAGCTACACACCGTAGTAGAGGATTGGAATACCGTCTCCAACAAACGGCCAAGTCATAGCATTCATAACAAGCTACCAGTGCGTATTGAAGTCCGTCAATGACTGCCTGTCCTTGCTGACAGTCGAACAGACTACGCACCGCTTGATCTGTCTGAAAAGACTGGAACCGTGGATTGTCTGCATTCTCTAGGAATGCGCCAGTCATGAAGACACCGTGTTTGTAGGCGCTCTGTTCAGCTTCCACTGTGCTCGCAAGCTGTGATAGGTCGCCGGTGGTGTTTGTGAATGCCCGTATGAGAGGGTAGAATGCTGGGTAGTCCAAGATGCTGTCGAGGACTTCTATATTTGGTAAAGAAGATCTGAGGCGTGAGTGACAGTCCTCTCAAGACGATAGGCACGTACGAGTATACTGGCTCACATACTGGATATCTCCATCGAGGACCTCGCCTAGAGAGAAGACACCCGACGCCTGCGCGAAATCGGGCCAGAAGTCCTTCCGCACATGCTTCACAGTGTCTATCCGCACCCCATCGGCGCCATAGCTGTTCACGAGCGTCTGGATCCACGAGTAGAAGAAGTTCACGATATCCTCATCCTCCGTATCCATGTCTGCAAGCGGCACATTCTGATCGCCCAGCCAGCACTGTTCAACATTCGTTTGGTTGCTGTAGTCCGTAATCCAACAAAACGGATGGAAGTCGGACTGCTGGTCGAATGGCTCGAACGCGGTATAGTTGGGCGGGATAGACGACGCGGCCATGTGATTAACGACGACGTCAATCATGAGGTACATCCCCCGCGCGTGCAGCGCTGTACTGAGCTGCTTGAGATCCGACTCAGACCCGAAGTGCGCGTTGAGCGTATTGTGGTCGACCGTCCAATACCCGTGGTACGCCTCCCCGTCGCCCGTCGGGCCCTCAAGGTTCGCGACGATGGGCGAGATCCATACGGCGTCGAAGCCCATTCTCTGGATGTAGTCGAGCTTGTTGATTATACCCTTCCAAGTGCCGTTGCAATACCTTCGCTCGCTGGTGTCGCATGACGGAGCCGACCCGTCGGTCGTGGCGAATCTGTCAGTGACCAGCTATCATCGTGTCAGTTTATTCCCTTTTGAGGTCGACCCAGGTCAATGCTTACCTGATAGATTGACCTTTTCTGCCAGTTTTGTGCGCTCGCACAAAGTGTTGGTATCACAAATGTAGCACATACGAGCAGGCTGAGGAGCATAGCTTGAGAGACGGTGTGGTAGTCTGTCCGTGCTACGGAAGCCTAGGATGTCCGGCCAGTAATCTCGCCGAATGCAACAGAGGTAGTGGGGGTAGAAATAATACAGATATGTCCTTGCAGCGTGTTCAACTTACTGCTCGGTGACAGTCAAATGTCGCTTCTATGATCGAGGGTTGACCGATACTTACGTCATCTGTAGTTCAGCTCGCCGTTGGCCCTCTGCTTACCGGGTTTGATATACGCGCTTGGTGGATTCATCTGCGCTCCGAGTTACACTATTCGCCGGGGGCAGAATTGAACATTGACTCGAAGAGCTATACATGCCTGTGCCAGCACAGAACTTCAGTACGAGTCTTGATGCCGATAAAGTCTTGCAGCTACTTCAAGCCCTCGAATCGTTTTGGAATATGACCACATCCTATCTGTGTTGACAGTCATGTGTGCTGGTTCTGCAGGATATCTGTAAAAAGTACGAATGGTGTTCCGAGTCGCAATACTACCGTTTCTATATAAGGAGTCCAATGATAGGATCGTTTGATGGTCGGATTATTCCGTGCCACTAAACTACGGAAGTCGCCTCGCAAAGGCAGGCAAAGGCTCGCATGCCCAACTAGCCGCTCCTGCTCCCTGCAGTCTAATGTTAGATCTTCAAATTTGCTTCTCATACTGATGATCATGCGCTATAATCAACCTATTGTCTCACTACGTTATTGCGACTACCGACCTCAGAGGCAATGCAATGCATGCCTGCAGTCCGGGTCTGGGGGGTTGATGAACCAACATGATGGTCGGCATTCTCAACCTCAACGATCTGGACACGTTCCGTAACATTCGGATGTTTCCTTTCGAAGGCATAGATCTGTCATGGCTTCATTTCTATACTCGGACCCCGACGTGGGTTGATTCGCGGACATGACAAGACCCATACGATGATGTGCAGGAGTCACAAATCAGACCATGAGCTACACAGTCATATCAAAATCAGGCAAATAGAGGTTTCGTGCAGACTTGGAAGTTGACATTTGTTCTGCTCAGACATTCAAATTCATTTTAAAGTGCAACATGGGAAGACGGTGACCCCACATGCCTCCGACGGATGAGTAGCGCCCGAAGCATTCCCTTCCTCGGGATTCTTGCTCCTCAGGGATGACTGATAAGGCTCTGGTGCTGCGATTCCGATGAGGAATTGCACATATAAATAGCCGAAGGCTTTCTGCAGGACACAGTATTACAGCCTTCACCTATAGCCAGACATGCCCTCCTATCTCATCATTGGGGCTTCAAGGAGTATTGGCCTTGAGTTTATTCGGGAAACGGTGCGCTCTAGGTTATTCCTTTCGGACAGTCCCCCAGATTCTCCTCATCAAACAGGCATCCAATTCAACCAACTTAGTTTTCGCCCTTGTGCGCAACAGAGACTCACCGCAGCTGGCTGAGTTTGTAGAAGGCAATCCTAATCGGAACGTATATATTGTCCAGGTAGATGTTACGGATCATGTTTCCTTCAAGGTATTCTTATTTCACCTGCGCTCGCTGGTCAGGACCTAGTCTGATTCTGTACAGGACGCAGTCGCGAAAGTTTCGGAGGTGACAGGCGGTTCGCTGGACGTTCTCATCTACAACACTGCACGAACAGATACCCCGTTCTTCTTCCGCAAGTTGTCCGACTAGTGAGTACATACCGAACGACCCCTGATTATTGTTTATATCTTCGAATTTAGTAAGGATGGTGCCGATTTGGATAAAGAATTCACAGAATCTGTAAGTATTGGAGAACGACATTATATCTCGACTCTAAACACTCGGTTTGCGGCAGTATAAAGTCAACGTCCTTGGTTTCGCACATGCGGTCAACGCTTTCCTTCCCCTCCTCCGTGGGGGCTCTACGAAAAAGATTGTGTTGATTAGCAGCGGTGCTGGTGACCGCGAATTTGCACTGAAGACGCATCATGATAGTTCAGCGGCGTATGGCACTACGAAGGCGGCGGTCAACATGATCATGACAAAGTTCGCTATCGAGTTGAAGAAAGAGAACTTCGTGGTATCCGCAATGAGCCCTGGTCCGATTGCTGGATCTGCCATGATAGCTAACGAGAGTCAGTGCGGTTGTGTTCATCCTAGCGGGCTAGTGTGCTGAACTAACTACCTTGTGCCGCAGGCGACGAATCCAACAAAGCTGAGCTGGCGAGGTTGTTGGAGAGGTTCCGCGAGGCGATCCCCGACTTCGACCCTACGCCGATGGCTCCGGACTTGCTGACGAAGAAAATGTTGAAGGTTATCCACTCACTCGGGCCTGCGGAAACGGGCACTATCCGCTCGTCTAAAGAAGTTCGCTCGATGGAATTGTAGCAGTCACCAGTGAATGTATCAGATACCACTCAAACGAATTGGGACTTGTGTACCATTAGCTGCTATGATGTCTCGTCTATACGGAAATCTTGATTTTATCAATTTTATTTGACCGTCTCGGAATCAGCCACGCGATATTCATAGATATATTTCTTCGTATTTTCTTCGCCTCGAGCAATTTGATTTACGACATTATCTATATACGGCATCGCGAAGGACATTGGGGCGCCACCGCTTGGGCCACAGTCACATCCGACATCGTCCTCTCCTTCTACCCCATCATCTCACAGTACCTTGTTTCCTCCTCTCTTAGTATGCAAGCACTCTCCGGTGCTCTTTTCAGTATACGAAGATGAATGATAGCGTGATTGAAATCACTTCTTCGCCGGACGTCTCTTTCAAATCTGCCGTTCGCGCCGCTCCTCGATGCAGGAGGAGTAAGACCCGCACACGTCGTGCCCAAGTCGACGACGCAGATATCGAGCTTACTGACTCCGACAACAATGTCGTTGATTACGTCCGCGATTACGGCTCAAGACGCCAACCAAACACCCCTGAAGGGATACCAGCGGCGGGCCCGTCCGGGGCTGGCCCTGCAAAGCCTGCACCTCTTTTCTACCCGGACACTGACAACGAGGAGACGCGGGCGCCCGATGCAGGGCTCTCCAGAATGCAGAACGATGCTTCATTCCTAGGTCCAGGAGCTGTAGTTATTCTTGAACAAGACGCGTTCGTCCCTGTTGCCGCCTCTGAACCTGGCTCATTACTCGAAGATGTGCCACAAGTCGACCCATTGGACGCCTACGTCTCACAGGTGCTTGAAATTGTGCCGGACGTGCTCCCAGAGCACGTTCGTGAGCTGATCGAGCGCCATTTGCCCGCCCATCAGCAACAGGTTGTCGAGACGGTGTTGCATATTCTCTTTGAAGACCCTACTTATCCAAAGGTCGACCTCAGGAATAAGGGCAAGCGAAAAAGAGAGGTGGAGCAGGATGATGCGGAAAAGAACGCGAAACTGAAGGTGGACTATGCGTGCACTGATCGGATTCGCGAGGGAGGCCCGTCGTACGACCGGCATGCATTGGTGATGTGTCTCATTGCTCTAGTAGCGCATATACTGATTTAAAAATGTGACCAGGGACAATTGTACCTAGATTTTCCGCAAATACCTGTCCAGCACGTACGAGGACAGTTTGCACTGCACAAATCGTTTTACGCCCCAACATTCCTTTTTCTGTCCAGAGAAATGAAGCTACAAAACCTGCCTTATAAACGCAAAGCTGTTGCTACGCGACGCGGAGGCAAAGGCAAGGCAGCGGCACACCGTGATCCGGAGGTGGAGAAGGAGATTGAATGGGTGAAGATGAAATTGCTGGATGATGGAGGGTTGAGTGGCCAAGCATCGGAGCAAGTGGAGGCAGAAGACGAGGAGGATGGCATCGAGTGCGGATGCTGTTTCTCCACATATGGTTTTGTACGTTGTCATACTTCATTCCTTTTTTCGTCTGCTTATCACCGCTGGACAGAGCAAAATGATTCAATGCCCAGAAGCCCATTTATTCTGCCCGGAATGCATGACGTCCTACGCCTCGAACCTCCTTGGTTCGCACGACGCGAATATTGTATGCATGGATCAGTCAGGATGCAAGCTCCCGTTTCCCGAGTCTGAGCTACGCAGGTTCCTCTCACCGAAGTTGCTCGGGCTATATGACCGTGTGAAACAGCGGAAGGAGATTGAAGCTGCGGGCATAGACAATCTAGAAGAGTGCCCGTTCTGTGAGTACAAGTGCGTGATCGAGAACGAACACGAGAAGCTGTTCAGGTGCGAGAATCAAGAGTGCTTAGCGATAACGTGTCGGCAGTGCAAGAAGCCGGTGAGTCGCTTTCTGTTGCTCGACCATGGGTAAGTGATCGAGTGTCCGAATTGTAGGATCATTTGCCTAGAAGCTGTCAAGGTGCGTGCCTGATTGCCTATCCCAAGGTTTCCCCTGAATGGCGCCTGCAGAGGTTGAGAATGACAAGAAACTCGATATTCAGCATGCCGTAGAAGAGGCCATGAGTAATTGTCAGCATCCTACTTCCCTCAATTTGTACTGATCTTCCTCCCCCAGCCCGTGCACTAATGCGAAATTGTCCGAAGTGTCAGAAGGGTATGATTTCGAAAAAATGGGGATCGAACGTCCCATAAGTTGACTGATTTTCAATTTCCAGCGTTTATCAAGGAAATGGGTGTAAGCATCAAGACAGCTCATTAGGTTGTCAGCGGCTAATCAAATGCTTTTCAGTGTAACAAGATGACCTGTCCCAACTGTCGTACAACGTCTTGTTATGTATGTCGCGAGATCATTACTGGTTATGAGCACTTCAACAACGTACGTCGCGTAAACATTATGGCATGTTCGTGTATCGACGCCCATTCGTTGATATAGCCGCCACCATACTCAGGACATCCTGATCCAAAGAAATGTACATTATGGGATTCGGTAGACCAAAGGCATAGTGACGAGGTATACTATGTACACTACTGGTGATCCCTTGGTGTTCACGCGTTGCTTTCCAGGTTACAGCGGCCGCCAAGAAGGCCATTGAGGATTTCAAAAAGGCGCACCCCGAACTCGCTGACGACGACATTAAGGTCGACCTTCCTCCTCCACCGCCCGTCGCAGGCCCCTCGAACCTATACGCCGTCCCGGGGGTGCCCCCTGCTCCGCAGGTGCACATTAATGTGCCCCCGCATATTCAACAGATGGCGCATCGTTTGCGCGAGGCGCGTGCTGCATTCCAGATGTTCGAAGTTGGTCACCAGCCTCGAGTTGGCCGCCTTCATAATCCCCAGCCCCGCGCGGGCTTTCCTCCTCATCCTCCCCCCGCTATGTTTCAGCAGGCGCTGCTGCAAAGACCGGTTCAGCTCCCGTTCGTCCCGCCTCCGCCTCCCGCTTTCCATGCACCGCGCGCCCGCGCGCCCCGACCTCCTGCTCCAGCTCTAATCCTCGCGCCCGCGCTTGCACCCGTGCCCGCCGCGGTGCGTGCACCGCGCGCCCGGCAACCTCGAGCCGTTAAAGTTGCTCAGGCTTCGCGCCGGCGACGCTAGGGTTGGAGTATGCTGGCGACCTGCATGTGAGGCACTGTATTCGACCGCCCCATGTGGACGCTTCCCGTGTCTGTCCCGTTTGCACGTTCTATATGTATTGCGTAAATAATTCTTGTGAACGTATACCGACATATAGCTACGTACATGATCTAGACAATAATTGTTTTGTATAGCTTGTTGGTGGGGTTTCGGTAATCTCAAAACTGATGTACTACCGTAAGGCTTGAGCCAGTAACTTCTCAGCAACATGAGTGGATTTAACGCCTCGAATAGCACAAAGACCATTTTTTCGCGTACGAAACTTCGCCACTCGTTTCTTTTTTTGGTCCTCAGGAGCATAATCCGACAAGCAGTCCATGCCTATTCAACTCCGAGTATGAGGGTAAACCGCCGCCAGAACGCCCTCGAAGCCTCAGGAAGCAGCCCCGGGGTCGCCATGGACCGATTCTGCTCCTTTCGCATTCTCCTTGGGGAGGTACGTCAACTTTGAGATCGCTGTCAACCAAGACCCTGCCTGAGGCTTTCGTCAAGCACTCCGGAAGTGAGATATGCTCGAGAAAATATATGCCTAAGACCCATTTTTCACGCCCAAGAACAGTAATCCCCGCTTCGCCCTCTCAACCTCCTCTTCCAGCGTACGCCCGTCTGCATTCGTCCACCATTGCTCCTTGGGAAGCTCCTCCAGGGTCTTTCCTTGCCTAAGCGCGCCCTCAAACGCTGTCTTACGTGCGTTGAGCTCGGCCATTCGGCGCGGGTCCGAGTGCCCCGTAAAGATAATCAGCGCCGTCCGCGGAGGCAGCGCAGCATACAGCAGCTTCAGCTGTGTATCTAGAGTGACTAGCGCCTCGGTGACGTCGGCCGGTGATGGCCCAGCTGGTGCGGGGGCGTCCGGGATGAGATCACCGTTGGTTTTGTTTGTAATCCCTATCATGGGATCAAGGATAAGTGAGCAGTCAATTTGAAGAGAAGATAGATCAGCAACATACATCCCAAGGCGTTTGCTAGGCCCGTGAAGCGGGCGAATGAGAAACTATGGGATGGCATCGCTCCTAAAAGCCCTTCAAGCACTTCGTCATCTGTCATGCAACCGATCGTGGTAGTCGCTTTAGAGCCATGCCAAGCAGCCGGGTTACCGTGATCAACAACCGCGGTAGCGGGGGCGCCTGACCGCGACCGCGACATCCGCTCGAAGATTGACTCCATATCGATTTTGAACTCGCCGAAGCCGGGACCTATAGTCAGGGCGTCAGAAACGAGAATAGCCGGCGGAAATGAAAATGTCAATTGACCGTTCTGAAGCTTTTTCTTCAACAGATCCATGCAAGCCCGTGCATCCTCCTCGGGATCATGTCCGCCCTCGCCACGATTTTGGATCTCTCTCCCACACCATTTCTTCGTGAGCCATGCGAGGCCCGGCTTGAGTGGCTTGCCCCGTGGATGATGGTAGATCACAGCAGTATCGATACACTGAGGATGGCAGATCTTCAGAGCTTTCAAGTCGGATTCTAGCGAATGCCCGAGAAGAACTGGTGTAGGTGTCACGGAAAGAAGGGATAGGACGTGCTTTTGCACTTCGGCAAATGTTGTGGTAACGGGATTTAGTGTTTCAGCGGTGATACCTGACCACCTACAAAGCAATCGCTTAGAGCACCATTGCAAAATATGAAGTGAGTAGATCTACCTTGTGAGGTAATCCAAAACAGGTTTGAGTGGTTTGACTAGTTGATCGTACACAACAATACCCGATACATAGTCAATCAAGCACACTCGTGTAAGTTCCTTTCCGTCCTCTGTCATACACTGTTCTCAAGATCAATACAGCACAAAATAATAATTTTATAGGCTTCACCATCTCACAATCCATTGCAAATATTCGTGGCATATTGCCTGCCAATTCAGTAGAAGTGTCGGGAGCAGGGGTCTCTACCCATCCCAGTGGCTTCTCGAAAACCTCAGCGATATATGATGGCAAGGGGTAGTCATTTTCTAGCATTTGCTCCGTGGTAAGCACGTAACGCATCGGCGTCTTCTCCCACGCACGTTCTGCTGTGTGCAAAAATTCATTTACGCAGGATCTGATTTGGAAATAAAAACATAATCATACAGGTCACTCGTTCTATCAACCGTCTTTTCTTTTCCTCTCCAGTAATTGGGCCTTGGAAAAAGCTGTTCAAGACTGAATGCATTCGCGTTTGATCGCCCGGTGCTCGAGTGGGACATGCATGACTGAATGTTCGCCCAATGAACGAAAGCCCACGCGATGAGCCTTCTGCAGGGGAATCATCTGGTAATGGGATGGGCAGCGGGAGGTTAGGGTTAGCTGTGGCGGAAGTAGGAAGAGGAGGTAAAGATATGATGTCTGGCGTGATCCCTGGGATCAAAAGCGCAACCACTTTTTGCACTGAGCGTGGATTCTTGGTATGTCATTTGAAGGTCAATGTATACCCAACACAGCGTTTAGTCGCACGCACCTCAACTCTGACCCAACCTGGAGGTGGAGCATCGGTAGATAGATGGAGGACCAAATCTCGGATGTCCTACAGAGCGTCGTCAGAGACTGGACTCCAACAGCAGCTCGCAACGCACATTGATGCCCACTGCATCCCTTCTCTTCAAGATCTCCCCCTTTGAATACATGAATCTGGGTGGGCTCGCCTGGGTCATGCATGGCATACCAAAGAAAAAGATGCATTAGCGCAGCCGACCATCAAACACGTTCCCCGCGCGTCCAGAGGAAAACACACACATCAAGTTTTGCTTCCGCCTTCTTCGCTTTCCTGGACTTGCGCCTTTCAATTTTCGTCCAGTTGTTTTCGTCACCGTCGTCGAGAGACTGTTCGGGTTCTCCGTCTGGCATGTCGATCCCTGGCGAGACTCTAGCCGCGGCCTTGAACTTCTTCTGAGCTGGAGACGAAGTGGATTGTTCAGGATCCGCCACAAGAGACGAGAGATCCTGCGACCGCTTCATGGCCAACAAAAGTTGTTTCGTTCAGCGATCAGCGGTGTTTCCGTCTCATGTAAAATCAGTCTAAAAGCAAGAATGAGGGTCGAGCACGCGCTTAGCCCCGGTGTCCTTGGCTGGGAACTTGGAAGAATCCCAGCGCTTACGTAAGCTAGGAAATGCAGCGCCTATGTGAATGACCATAACCAGTGGCTAATTCTAAGACTACAGTACAGCTGCAGTAGTCTAGCCATCGGAGTATCCCGACTGTCCTATGCCACTGGTGACTACGGCTCGAATAAGCCCCCTTTGCGCTAGTAAGTAATCCACCTTTTCGCATTCTCCTCTGACAGATGTTAGGATCTCCGTGGACTGCGAATACAGCCGGAATATCAAGCATCCCCATCGCCATGTTACCAGATATCATGCTGGGTCGACCTGCAAGCGATTTGAACATTGGCAACAACTGCAGTGCGCGGAGGCTCTGCGACGTCGCCCGTACACCAACACCAGGTGAAGGCGTGGGCCACCCCTTCTAATCGTGCGAGCCACTGAGCGTATGGAACAAGCGGCACGTTAAATCCAGCAGCCACCACAGCTGCGAGGGTATTCCAAGGTACAGGACGAGAGTGTATGTAGTGTGTGGGTTCTGTTCAATGCCAGAGCAATATTGAAATTAACATGCCACGCTATGTCACATCGTTTGGCTAGCCGCAACGCACTTAAGGATCATGAGATGGGCTGAGACATTCTCTCAAAGTCACCTACCAGCACAATCAACTCGAGCGCGATGTCACCTCGGTGAGACGTGCAGTAAGAAAGGGCAGGATTTAGTCGTACATATTGCCAATCTTGATAAGATTTGTCTGCAGACGAACTATGATCATCCATCCGTCTTGGAGGTATTGCGGATTACCCTAGACGAGGCATCCACCTTCTGAAGTGTTCTCACATTTAGTGGAAGAGAAAGACGCAGAACTAGAAACGGGTATGAGTTACGGCGACACCATGATGTTACTGCGCATTTTCCATCTGTACTGTAGAGCCTCAGGAATACATCGGTTACAACTGCAGAACAACTATTGCACCGTGCCACCAGCAGCGCACGGAACGCGAAATTGGCACATACCTCTACACACCCGATACGCTTCAGCAGCGAATATGATGGCTATAGCGCTGGAGATAGTGACTTTGAAATAAGAATTTAACAGTCGCCTTGTAAAGTGCGGGTTGAAGAGCAAGCTGCTGAAGATTGTCAAAGTAAAGTTTTGGCACTTTTTGGATAAAAGCAAAATTCCTGAGCTTATGTTGGCGAAAGAATACACAAAGAACACACTCAGGCTGCATCTTACATGCCAGTCCGCGCCGCTTCACGCCTTCACGAGTCATTTCTAGGCACTCAACGCTTAGCCCTTTTGGTTGCTCCTGTCTCCACAACGTCTCGTTTTCTCTTTCCTTCTAAAACGCTCTCTCTGTCAATGTTTTCCAAATTGACCTTTTGACACTCCTTGCCCGCCTTGGCCTTCAGGCAATCCCATACTAACTTGTCCTTATATGGTTCGTCGAAGCTTTCTGCATCCGGCGGATAGAACCAGTAATTGAACGCCATATGCATATTTGTGCCGTTTTCCGATTTCTCGTCGCCAATCGCAGAGCCAGAAGATGTGACTTCGTGCCACCATGATGCAGGGAGATACAATGTTTCGCCAGCCGATAGCTCAACAACGAAAGGGGCCCTGGAATTTCCAAATCTTGGGAATAGTTCTGGGGAGAAGTCGATAGGCAGGACGGCGGTGGTAGGCAACTTTAGATGCTTGTGAAGGTGCGCTGTTGGGAGGCGCGAGAAGGATGCGGGTTCTTTGTCGCTAGGTTTCTCAACATCATCGGCATCCTCACCACTCGAACCTTCATCTCCCGAGGCAGCAGCCCGAAAGGCGTCATCAACCTCATCTAAGTTTCCCATGAGAAGGTCATAATCGTCACGACCATCCTCCAGATCGCCTGCGAGTGAGCCGAAATCGCCATCTTCCTCTCCCTCCTCTCCATCGACTTCGAAGTCTTCCTCCTCACCGGCCCACTGATTCCCATTCATCACCTCACTGTCCTCGTCCTCGTATTTCATCAACTCACAGTGGGCTTCGTCATACGCTTGCTGGAGGCGATCCGCTTCCCCATTCATTCTACCCTTCCCTTTCCCCCTCTGTTGGGCATTCATCTGTTGTTCGAGCGCCTCCATACGCGCTTTTAGAGCAACTCGCTGGTCAAGCCCGTCTGCACGTAAGACGGGGTCATAGGCGATGACGCCATTCTGGTACACTTCATGCACATCGCCGTACGGGTAGAGATTTTGATGTTCTTCAGGAGGGTAGAGGACAAACCGCTTGCAGCCCTTGAGTAGAATATATAAATTGTCATGAAAATCATGATGCTGGCCACATCAACTCAAGGAGTGAAATTGGACGATAGTCAAGGTTGCGCGTACCAGTCCCGACGACGAGCCATCCACAGATTTCCCCAGCCATAAGTTCACCTGCTGAAGAAATAGGTTTCCCATTATACGCGGAATTAACGGAAAGTCGTCAGCCAGCGCATCTGTTGGCGGTGAGAAGACGGTCAGCGCGTCCCAGTCCTCGCCAGAGTACTGAGTGGTGAGGTAGTGGAACGGTCCTCCTTCACTTCTGAGAGAAACAAGGAAGTCACGGAAAGGCATCGGAATTCGCTGCACGTCCGAGCCAAATTGCTGTGTCGCGGGATGCATGGGCTCAACGAGCAGAGAAACGTCTCCGGCTTTTGACTCCAGGTAGTCGAGGTCCGCCTGCCTTCACCACGCGCGACAACTTATTGAGAACTCCACACGAATTTCAAGAGAAGGACGTACCCATCTCTGAGCTTTGAAAGTCGCGTCGTCAGGGAATCCTTTAATAACGACGGGAGTGCGTTTTGAGATATAATTTTTGAAAAAGTCTTGAGCTGATGTACTAGGCTCGATACGATTGAGTTGTGCTACCATGTCGCCTCACGCCGCTTTTTTATGTTGGAGCGTTTCAGCTGATGATAGCGACGAAGGGGCTTGCGACCTGAGGGTTCGGCGGTGGAAAAATGATCCTCACTGAGGAATAGAGCTTGACGAGATCGAAATCGGCAACATTAATAATCTAGCCGCCATGAAATAGGCGCTTCCCTCTCGACTTAAATCATGTTTCTTGGAAGTTCGAAATACCACAATTACAGAGGCATTATTACACTCTGCCAAACGAATAATAAATCGCGGCCTGCAGATGCATCAGCAGCACCCGTAACCATCACTGAGAAATATATGTTCTGAGCCCGAATTACTAGGATAGAACTAGTAGTATTATACAAACAACTGTCGCTACGCTGACAATGACTACTGATTTAAAACTCTGCTACAAGGATATCTCAGGATCTGACATTTGTTCCATAAGTACAGCAGCTATAAAACGCACGAATTATAACAAGCACTCACTGATTAGTCCGTGGACTCCCAGTCGGTAAGTTGGACATTGATGTGGTACGAGTCTACATTCCTGTAGATGCCTTGCTCCACCTCATCTTCCATCCTCCCGTTCGTATATAATGTCCTCTTCCGATACGTGAATCCAACTATTATCTCCGCATTCTGCAAGGCGACGATTGCCTTTGCCTTTTTACGTGGAGGAACGGTCACTGTAACTGTCTCCGACACGGTCTTCTCGACTTGTGCAGTACCACCCCATAGATGAGTGCATGGTTTAGAGATAGAGATCCCCATATCTGTGCTGGAAATAGACGGCACACCAGCTGAGAAACTGGACGAAATCCCAATTTCGATACCGGCGGCATTGTTCCATGTGCCATCTTCCGATGCTTTGTAGGACAAGTACAGTTCCCGGCTTGCAGGAGAATCTGAGTTGTTGGAAATGGAAGTGATCAAGATAGTTGTAGGGGGGAGCCCGCGTATTTGAGCCCCAGCTAGGTTGTAATGGATGTCGTAGATATCGGTCTCGAGTGCAGCCGAGACGATTTCAAAGCAGCATGAATCGTCTAGACCGGCGATAGTGGTGAAAAGAGGTGACCCCAGGTTGTCTAACTTGCTAGACAAGTATAAATCTGAGGGGCTTAGATTGTCAGTAAAGTAGACAGAGTTGTTGCCCAAGTATTTGAGCCTAAAGCCAGCGTATGGAGTAATGTAATCGCTTGACAGCCAACCAGTATCGTAGCGAACCCAATACCGTCCGTCATTCCCTCGCAAAGAATAGTGTCCAGACACTCGGGTCGGGACGGCCTGGAAGAGACAGTCGGCATCTGGATCCCCGCCACGGAGGGTCAGGGTGCGATAATCGGGAGAGGGACGTTTGGTAAAATAGCGACCGTTCCTATCCCGAATGTATAGCCAGTTTGGAAGCAAATACCTGACTCGGCTCTCGCCAGCTAACCCAACACAAATTCAACGCGCATTAACAGGCTATCAATGATGATACTCACCATCCGGGATTCGAGGTCGCCTACGCTTAAAGCCATCCTCACCAATAATCAGCCCATTGTAGGGAATAAAATCTGCATGAACACAATCAATAACCTTTTCCCACCATATAGTCTGTAGGTACATGGACTTACCCTGTACTAAAGACATCTGGTCCTTCCTCAGGTGGTTCTTGAAGAGTTTATGGAAGGCCGTCCAACCTTTCAGGCGGTATAAATTCCACTCTCGAAGTGTCCATTTCAGAAGGTGTACAACCGATCGGAGTAAGCCACAGAGGTAACGTCAAAAACTTGGCATTGAACCTCTCGGACGCGAGATATACATCAGTAATGAAGGTCTGAAATACACCTTTGAGTATCGGCGCAGGACATCTACCGCGTGATCGAGACACGGGAGTGATTCTTTGATTCTCCACATAACATTAAGTGCCTGTGATTGTGTGAAGTCAGTGACGGACTACTAGAGTCGAGGCACGTTGAAGGTCGGCTGAAGAATCATCAAGACAACTAGTCAAAAATGAATCAAGTTGAGAGCTCGGAGATATTCTTCCGCATGGTCTCCGCTGCGGACACAGATGGACAATCATGGGACATTGACAGAAGACACTTCTCGCTTTGATTCATCTTTTCACCAAGACGCTCAACATGTCCAATAGAGATACGTCCTTGTCGCGGGGCATTAGTAGCACGATTGTTGTCCCAGTACGCACGAATCTTAGACTCTGTACTCACCCAGTGATTACGGTGGGCATTAATGCCAGCCCAGCAATTTTAGGTGCTGTAATTCGGGAACCTGTTGACAGAAGAAATGGAAATATGACCCATCATATGTTGTAGCCGCTCCACATGGCCCTCGAGACCGATGGACACTTGCTGGTTTCCATGAAAGGTCTCCGATGTGTAGGCGGAGCATCTGTGAATGACTTGATATCGGGAATGCTGTGCCACCCTGGCAATGGAATGCACGTACAGACCTATGGTATGCATGGCAAAATGCATAGTTTTCAAAACCACCATGCATCGCACGGGCACTGCATATTGCGGCGGCTTTGCAGCATACCGATGAGAGCCTACCACGCGAATTTCGGTACGGGCCGTATGCCGACAGGTTTGCGTACGCATGATCTGCAAACCTCATATTCTTTTGTGGCTCTGAGTGTCCATGCAGTCTTGTGCTACTATGTGAATTCCTGCATTTAGTGCCAAGGACGTCAAGCCTGAGTATACTCTCGCGTACTAGAGCAGCATGAGAAAGTCTGACACTGGGAGAGCCGGCTATTCTACTTACCAGCCCTGAGTTGCCTTCAGTGATCCGGATCCATGTTCGAAACCAGTCGAAGCTCGCGTGAAAGGTGTAGTGTGCGACAGTATCTTCGGCGAGGGTGATGGTTTCTCTAAATCTGACTGGCATTGCACAGGGCATAATGAAGGTTGAGCGATCTCTCCATACATTGAATTGGGCCTTTCGTGCCAGAAGGATCGACTCGGAGGAGCGTCGACGATTATACAAGTACTAATTAGTATGTATTTTCTCTCACGGGGAACCAATCCAGTTCTGAAACGAATGCATCGTCACCACATAGTCCTCCAACGCATTGATATTGATCACTTGAACGCTAACACTTCCGACGGGTCGCCGAGGCTCGAGCTGCACTACACCGGTCAATGGCACGCATATCGATATCGGATGATGATATAAAGCCCTTATCTGTGAGAGGGGCGACTACGAGACAACCACGACTTTGAATTCACTCCTGGATTATATCTCTCATCCGCACCATGGCATCTGCTGAACCCTTTGTGTTGCGCTGGGGCGTGCTTTCCACCGGCTGGATCGCGATCCAATTTGTGAAGGTCAGACACACGTCTATCTTCAGTGTGGTGCTTGTTTCGATAATGTTGCTGCAGGATTGCCTGGTAGATCCAAAGACGTACGAGCATGTCATGGTCCACTTTTGTCGTTGTTTGAATGATGGATTCTATCATTAGGCGCGGAACCACAGACGTCATACACAAAGTAGTCGCCGTTGGCTCTCGTGGTGGTAATGTTCAGAAGGCGCAGGAGTTCATCGCTGCCCATGGAGACGGTCAGACCATCAAGGCATACGGCACGTACGAGGAAGTCTGCGCGGACAAGGTGAGCAGGCTATTCATTTGACCCGTTGCATTCCCTGTCCGATTGTCTAAGACGATTATCCCGTGCGAAAGGAAATCGACGCCATTTACATTGGTGCGTGTCAGACGTGTTTGTGGAATTTCATGGGCCTAAGAGCCTCCTCAGGTTCACCTCACACCCAACATTACGACAATGCCCTCACGGCGCTCCTCGCGGGTAAACACGTACTTTGCGAGAAAGCGACCACTTCCAATGCGGCCGAACTGCGGCACCTCCTCTCCATCGCCAAGGAGCGTAATCTGTTCTTCATGGAGGCGATGTGGACGCGTTTCCAGCCCCTCACGAAAGAGCTCAAGAAGATCGCGGAGGAGGGAACCCTTGGTGATCCCGTGGTGCTGCACGCCGATTTCTCCCACCATTTCGATGTGGACAGTATGCAGCATGCTTATACATGATTGATCGTCCATTAATGGTCCACAGAGCTCCCGAAGACTCACCGGATGCTCGATCCCTACCTCGGAGGTGGAGCGTTACTTGACTTGTGAGCGGATTGTCTTCACACACTGCTACGTAGTGGCTGACATGCGCCATTGATCAGGGGACCCTACCCCATGATTTGGGTAAGGCGCACAAATCTCACACCCTCGCCCATCTGAGCCTCGCTGCGACTTGTAGACTGTCCTGGCCCTCTATGAGCACCCCTCAAACAAGAAGGCACTCCCCACCAGCGTCAGCGCAGCTATGGTGAAGACGCCCCTCACAGGGGTGGACAGCAGCACGAGCTGGACAGTGAACTTTACGTCCACGCTACGGGCACAGGCGATCTGCAGCTGCAGCATGATGCTCCCGACCGCGCCGTTCGGTGTGAACATTCGCTACCGCAACGGCAACATCCTGGTCTCGGGGCCGACGCCCGTGCCGAGCGCGTTCACTGTGCAGTATTTCGACAAACCCGGCAGCGGCGTTGTCGTGCGTGAGGAGAAGCGCGTGTTCGAGTATGTCGGCGGGGGCTGGCACTATGAAGCAGACGAGGTTGCGCGGTGCGTGCGCGATGGGAAGCTGGAGAGCGATCTGTGGGGGCACGATAAGAGCTTGTTCCTCATGGATACATTTGACGAGGTAAGCTTCACTGTGTTTGCGGTTTGTCTCTGCATTGATATGGACGGCCATGTTTAGATACGCCGCCAAGGCGGATACAAACTACCAGATGGAGTGGAGAAAGTCCTCTGAACGTGGGAAATTCCTCTCAAAGCGGAGAAGGTAGATTTGAATAATGTACCGTATGTAACACCACCGCCGTTCGGAAGGTATGATAACTATGTTCTGTGAGATCCACCTTCACGCCCACGAGTAAAGATATACGCAAGCGTGATTGATTTTGCAATCACCGATGGCATTCTGTTCCACTTTGACAACAGGTGCATACGACAACGATACAGTTCGACAACTACCACCCGATTTCTTACAATGTCCGAGATAGTCCGGCACTCTTGAACAATTCACAGGTCGTCGTCGTCGACTGTGACCCAGCTCTCTCGTACGGGACTACGCATGCGGGAGATATTTCAGCGACTCTTCGCTACGCCTGTTCTCATATACTTACCTCTCCTGGCTGGACACTGACGACTTGCCGAATGCAATCTTGACGGTCTTCACCTCGAAGCCATGGAAGTCAAGTGTCAGCGACAATGACTTGTCTGACTCCGTGACAAGTGTCATCAAACTTCCCTCGTCCTCCAGCAAATTTGTAGTGACGACCTTGGCAACAGGGAGGTGTTTCGCAATGTGAAGCTTGACGCGGCCATGCCCACCGAATGCCTCATATAACCTGAGCACGACGGTTGTCCCGGATGTCAGCTCCTTGGAACCAAAATCATCGTCCAGACCACGCTTGACAGTCTCCAAGAAAACGTTCCTATCGCCCTTCAGCACAAATGGCGGCTTTGCCTTGAGCAGTGGGAATTCTGCGCTTCCATCCAAAAGATAGCGCACTTTTTTTACATTCAGTATGGTTCTAGCTATTTCATACGTGCGACTTACCGTGAGGAGCGGAGTTGAAGAGATATGCGGCAATAGGGACGTCAGACTCTAAGAAGGATCCCTTGTGAGGCATGACAGCCCAAGAGAACTCATGCAATCCTAGACAAAATGTGAGTCCGTTGGAATACATCTCCAGAACTGCAAGCGCACCTTGATCCTGCTCGGCGTCGGGAGCTGTAGCCGAGCGGAGAAGCGAGATGCGCAAGACATTACCACGGCACGAAAATCCATATTTTGACTCGGAAAGAATGGCGACACCATAACCGAATTCGCTCAGATCCGCGTACTATAAAGTGTGTTCAAAGCCGCATCAGGAGTAGGTACTTGGAGCACTCACCTTATGACCGCAAACTTCGAACTTGGCCATGTCCCAGGTCGTGTTTTTGTGAGTGGGTCTCTGGACATAGCCGAATTGTGTCTCGTAGGTGGCGTAATCACTGTGTATGTTGAGAGGAACCTCAACTATATGCAATTAGACTGCGTGGATTCGGAGGAAACACACAAAACCTACATTTGAGGAACTCGTGCCGTTCGTGCCAGTCAACGACAGCGTCAAAAGCAAACATAGACCGTGAGTCCTTCTTCATGGAAGCTGCAACACAGTCAATTTTACACTTGAGATCAACAAGTGTATCACTAACCTGTAATCGCGTCCAGGGAGATCTAACAGATTCACATCAAGCGACCATCGAAGAGAGAATTGGAAGCAATCATACCGTGACTGTGATGGTGCTTTGTCGGTACTTGATCACAGACTTGATGGATGCACGTAGAGGTCCTTCAGCAACAACCGAAAGATTCGAGAACTGCACAGGATGTGGGGTCTCGAGATGATGAATCTCAACATCTACATGAATGTTGAGTGATCAGTCAAATGAGGGTGTGGCAGAACTAAATCTTACCCCATGCATCCCAGTAGTTCGGGCGGTCATCAAAGATCACCAGTCCACCAGTCTGGCCTTGGGGGATTAGTTCTCGCCTAAGAACCAGACATCATGAGCGACATGCAGTCATGAAACGACATAATTCCCACCCAAGTTCAACGTCAAAGAGGCTAGTGATTCTGCCCTTGGAGATTGTTAACTGTATGCTGGCATTCTTGAGTACAAAATTATCCGAGCCGTTCGTGAATACTGCTGATAGGTTGATACTTTAAATCAATGATATAGGCCAATCGCTTACCAGAGGCCGGCATACAGTCCGCAAATAGCCCCATAGTAGTTGAGACGTTCGCGCCAGATGAACAATCCATCAGAGCATACCCGATAGTGCCATCCTTCGATGCCTGGACTACCTGAGACTTTAAAGAAGCGGCGCCGCCGGTCAAGGGTATCTGGACGACGTCTCGTCGAGGGAAGAAGGTAGTATTGAAGGCAACCAAGCGACCCGACTTATTGGCGTGCGTCATGCAATCGGACAGCGGAACTGACTTGGGGAACAGTGCACCGAAAGCGTCTTCAAGCAGCTGTCGACCATCCTTTCTGACTTCGGTATAGAGCTTCTCTGCGTCCTCATACACCATCCCTCTGCCTATGTATCAGCATTGTGATTTAACATGGTGATAATAATACTTACATCGCTGACCCTGGGAGCACTGATTTTGCATGCGCATGTTAGTGTCATTCTGGTGAGAACGATGTTCATAACCATACCATCATGGACTATAGAGTCGAAGAATAAGAAATCTCTACGATTCTGCATGCTAGAGGAAACTCACATTGATTGAGCAGCACTTTCTCCCAACAGTCGTTTATCTTCTCGTTGGGGTAAATGTAGTCCTTGTGGTATTTGTACAATGACGCCAGAGTAGCGAGCAACTATGGGACATGTTTTGAGGAATAACATGATTTATACTAGGCAAAATGCTGACCTCAACATCCCTCAAGAGAATCTCGGATTTGCGGTTGCCCTTCTTAATGGAACCTATATATGCGTATATAGCCAATTTTAGCTTTAGGTCGTGACTAGACGTACCATGAGACGTGTAGGTTCCACGATGAAACTACGATACATAATGAGCATAGAAGAGTTTTGGTGACTATATATACTAGTGAGTACACACCTCAAGGTAAAGTTCTCCATTCCTAAGAGTTAATTATTAAGAATGGTAAGGATTTCAAAAAAAAAATAGAGAAACCGACCAGTTGGGAAGCTTCTTTCCTGCGGCAGAGTTCTTTGCAATAGTGTCGAAGAATTGTTCAACGGAATGACCCATATCTACCGGAGGGATTTCACGAGAGTTATTGGAAGCTGCACGAATACGCCTCAACTACAGTAGCAGGTTCAGCAACTTGCACCAGAAAGATCATAGGATGTGGAAGCACACGTACATTCTCCAACATCTTGGGAAGGGGTCCTCCCCCGCCATCACCATTCCCGAAAACGAGGAGGGAAATATCAGATGACTCGAGGTTCTGCGGCAATATTTGTATATTGTACCATTGTACAATAACACGAAGACATACCTTGTGGTTTGTTAAACCCTTGTTGACATCGCCAACTGTCGCCTGCGCAGTGTATGTATCTGAAGTGGCTTCAATACGTATGAATTAGCGTGAGTGTCATGTATACAGACCAACAGGGGTCATATGGCACAGGACTTGAGTGCCATCAATTCCAACCCAGTTGAAAGTGGAATGCGGGAATGTATTTCTGTATCATACACTTTAGCATATTCCTCGTTGTGCCCGGAATATCACCTACATGTTGTTCCTTCACGATAAAAAAAAGGTGAGTGACTCAGCAAGAAGTATATGAGGTAAATGCTCACCATGATAGCTTCTGCGTGAAGAAGTATTTCATGTCGGCGAGCCGAATTAGCTGCGGCAAGGCTCCCGTGAGACCAAACGAGTCAGGTAACCACGCTGTTTCACAGCGAATACCGAACCGTGACTCAAAGTACCGTTGTCCGAGGATGAACTGACGGGCCAGAGCCTCTCCGGATGGCATATTCGAGTCGTTCTCAACCCACGAACCACCAACAAGATGGAATTTGCCAGCGAGGACCTTCTCCTTGACACGCTCGAAGAGAGGAGGATACAGCTAGGCAGCTTATAATTCCTCAAGTCATTTTGTAAGGAGACGTAATTCGTACCTGTTCAAGCCACTTGTACTGCTGTGCCTGGCTGCATGTAAATCTGTGTTCAGGGTAACGATCCATGAGATCGACTTGGGTAGACCAAGACCGAGCAACTTTCTGCTGAGTTACACGATATGGCCAGAGCCTATACGGCACTTAAATCAACCGGTATAGTCACGAAGGCAGCACATACCACGCGGTGTCAATGTGACAATGGCCAATTCCCCAAATGACTGCCTCTGAAGCACCTTTCTCATAGACCTTCTCCCCCTCCTTATCCCACGCCTTACCAAATACCTCCTCCGCAATCTTGCGAGCACGGGTGATACTTGCAGGATCTTCCTTGTTGAAGACGTTCATGATTTCATTTGCGGCAACGAGCGCCTTGTTCTGTAGGGAAGTATTTCCAGGCAGCGAGTCTGCAATTTCGCGGAGAGTTTGGAAGTCCCACAACAGGCGCCAAGCCTCTTGATTAGGAACGACAAGATCTGCAGAAGCGAGGCCGAAGTATCTGTTCATCTGCATAATAGGTCAGGGCCAACATCATTAGAATGAGAAGCTACAACATACGTCTGGCGGTTCAATAGTGTCACCGTTCCATGGAACACCAAACATGCCATTGCAGGAAGACTCGATGACGAAATCATACTTCCCCGCCTTCCGAGCGCTTTCTGGGATAATATGCTCAACACGACGATCGCCGCCATACCCTCCGGTGATTCCTTGTAAAGGAATACCATCTGTTGTATAAATCATAGCTTCGCACCCAGGGTCGAATTCGACTTGAATCGAATCTTTAGCCTCGTATTTAATACAAATGGGTAAGGTGAACGCACATTGGACGCGTTCATATTTCTGGAAGGACGCGGGGATAGTGATGGACACCTTCCACCAGTGATTTGTCTAATAGATGCGAGTGAGAATATATCCAAGCAACGAGTCGTGCACGCCCAAGGTAACATACCCCTGTATTGCTGCGTCAGCCACTACTCAATAACAATACCAAGAGAGGAAGTAACGCACAAGAGGGCCCAAACGAGTCTCCCTTCTTCGCAGGCATAAACTTCTGCCTCATGGCCTCCTCGAACGTCGGCTTCGAGAGCCCTGGCGCACTCCAGACTTGCAACCTCACATGCTGGGAATCGTCAAGACGTTGAGTGAACAACACAGAGCCCAGGTTGACACTATCGTAGTGACCGCCGTTAAAGGTCCCCAAACGACCTTGTGTCAAGTGCTTGATCCATTTCGCTCCTGCATCATAGTTCATTTTGGGATAGTCTGTCCCCGTGGGGAGCGTCGGAGCGCCGTGAGATGGCGACATCTTCAGCTAAAGCTTAAGGTGTACTGTTTACAGATAGAGCAAGGTAGAAAATCTCGTCAACACAGCCAGCAAACAGTTGCGCTGGGTCTACGCCGACGAGGGAGCTGGTAGTGACACGGTCGCTAGTGTTTGCTGTTTGGTCACATTGGCGGTGGGGAAGATGGGCGCCAATCACATCTTGAATTTGACGACGGCGGCTATGTATACTCACTACATACCAGCATAAACAAGACGCATCGAAATGTTCGTCCATTTGATAGTAAAGAATTGTGGAAGAAGTACTACCCACAGAGGGCGTCAGTAGTATAATCCACGCGAAAGACATCAAGAGTTTCCAGGTATAACGGTCAATTCAGTTGAAGTAACTCATATAACCAGGCACAACAGCATGATGATTCTTGTATGTCTACAACCCACTGAAGTCAGTGACACGGACACACACGAGTAGGAAAAGCTCGCCTTTTCAGTACCTCCATATCCAATTTTGCTAACGTGCACCACACATGTCTGAGTTCATGCAACGTGAGAGCAGATGGCAATTACAACATGATATGCAAAACAACAGAGTCCCTGGGAGATCGTACATAGATGTGTAGGCGTATATCATAAACATATGTCGATTCGACCATATAACTGTTCATCTTATACCAAGCGTCGTTCACAACCGTGCCTTGTGATCTAATGCTTCGAGAGCAGCGTTTGTACGAACGTGGAGGGCATTCTGCGAAGATATGGATAAGCAAACATAAAACTGTAATCATGATTACACGCACCTCCAGACTGTATTTACCCTAAGACAATGGTGAGCATAGTGATGGTGTCTTAAGTAAAAGTGACCACAGACCTTTCTATGATTGCCTCCTGGGCCTTCGAGAGGCTTACCGGACATTACAAGTTCTAGATGTTTCCTGGCGCCTTCTTTGTCGCCCTTGCATGCAAGAAGTCTTCCATATTCGTAGTCTATATTACACACCATGTGTGAGGTTCGGATGACGCAGAGGGATAACTGGACATACGAGCATAATAGATGAGATGATGGTCTAGCGTAACCTTAGTTCCATTCGTAAAGACAGCTTCAAAGGCCAGCAGAGCATCGCGTTCTGCTTCTGCCTGCCCAATGAGCGCCTTCTCATCGGGGTCCGTCACGGCATCTGCATCCTAAGTGCGATGTCTCAGTGAACATCTCGACCCCAGCGAGCTATCACATACTGGGTATGCAACATAACGAAGACAAATGCCCTGCAAGAAATATGTAAGGCAAAGGTCATCCCAGTAACCAGTGCCCTGTTCGTATTTCGAAGGATCAGCCTGATGCACTTGCAGCGTCGCCAACATCTCTGCAACGAGAGGGAGCATCTTGGACACAATAATCTCGCGCGGAGCGCGGGCGATAGCAAGGAAAATATACGCAAGCTCCAGGGCAGCCAATGCCAGACGTCCACCCTGATCTTGGAATTTGCGCGCTTTCCGTGCGATGTATTTCTAACGTATATACAATGAGTTTTCATCAGTGATATATATAAAAATGGTTACCTCCATTGGTATCGACTTGCCAGCGATCCGCTGTCGCAATTGAGGGACCTTCGCCATCAACTTCGCCGCATCTTCGCGCCGCTTATCGTCTCCTAGTTGGAGCAGACAAACAGCAGTTCCATACGCGTACACAGCCTTCGACCACTGCAAATAATTCACGCTGAGTTCTCACGAAGATATTTCAACGAGAGATTCTGACCGTCGCTTCCGCCGTGAGTATCTGCCAGCACCTCAGCGACTCTTCGATGTCCCAAAGCGCAAGGCTTGCCACGGCGATCTCCCAGTTGGAGATGTGGTGCATGTTGCGGTACTGGTTCTGGGCTTCCACAGCCTTGGTATAGTATGTGATCGCCTCGGCAGGTTGCCCGCGGCACAAGCTCAGACGACCTTGCCCGAAGAGGAAGAATACGCCTAGTCGGGTAGTCCAATCAATACATACCCTAAAGTGGTTTTTGAGTGACAAGTTTACCGTTAGGGTATCGTTTGACATGATAATTGAGGATTTTCTGGGCCATATCAATATCGACGCCATCAAATGTAACACTGGAGAGAACTAGATGGAAAATCAAGAGCGACATATCGCATATTGAACGGCGAATGCCCTCGCTCTCTGTGGTGATGTCATGGTTCGAATTTCAGCATGCAAACGCATGCTTAGAAGTACGTACCTAAACTGACAGCCGGTTCATCGGATCCGGCTGTCCATCCCCCAGACCGCATCAAGTACTCAAGGCCTACGTGCCGATCGCCTGTATAACCGAACATCTCCATTACAGTGAGCAATTTAGAAGGCATGAGCGACAAGATCACGTTCAGCATCCCAACACCCAGATAGACACCAGATCGGAAGTCGGCATCGATCGAACTATCCTCGAGGCCTTCACCACGCGCTCGCGCTGCAGCGTCCGCTTCTTCAAGAAACTTGCCTAGCTGACGATATATATTGATTGTTGTCCGCATGTTCAGTCTATGGCCATACGGACGTGGGCATCTGTCTTTCACTGATGGAACTGAACACTCACGCTTCCTTGATGAAAGCTAACCAATCTCCCGAATATACAATCCCTATCAACGCCTGAGGAGGCATGAGCGGGGCTCGGCGCTACTGCACTAAACACGCACTTTCTCGAATAGACTTTCTGCGTAAACTAGCTCCGCATGCCGCTCAACCCGGGTCATGCTCTTAATGAATCCCACTCCCGATGTATTGAGAGAACCCATCACAAGTCCTGCGAGTCGTGTGGGTAGAGACGCCGTGCGCTTCCGATGCCGACTTGCTACTGCATTGCCGTGACGTACATGGTTTAGACCAGAGACGAGATCCTGGATGACCGCAATGACACAACGGCCCTTCTGCCACACTGACGAATGCCATGCTCACCTCATCCTCAAAAGACATAAGTCCCTTGAAGCATTGGATAAGCCCGAATCCCGTAGCGAAGTACAGGTGCTCCCTGAAAGGCAGTCTGCCTTTGAATATTCCTAGACCTAAATGTGCTGCTCACCTCTTAGGATCACACCGAGAGCAATACTCCTCCGCTTCAACCATGTGGGACGACAAAAACAAGTGGAGTGCATAGCTTAGAGCTGGAACGTCATCCAGGGCCTTTTCTTGCGAGTACGGGCCCTTGGACACCGAAGGAGCGGTGGCTCCCCAAGGCAGTGCTGGCAGCATGCTCCCGGACATTGTCTGTTTCTCTCGCCGACTTCGAGGTATCCAACGCGTCGAGATGTCTTCAGAGACAACCTACGCGGTGTCGCCAAGCGCCTCAGTAAGAGGCGAGGCGTGTTATACCGAGCGCGTTCCCAGAGACACGGCCTACCTCGGAACAGTCGGCCTCTGTATCGAACGAATTTGAGACTGAATACCGGCAGTCAGTCGTACACGAGCGTAGGGTGGGCTTATGAAAAACCTTCACGAAATCAAGCTGTCTGCCTGAATTCACTCCCACATGAAGACAGTGCGGGATCGACGATTAGAGCGGAATCCGACGATACTCTGTTCAGTGTCGAGCGTCACCTGCCGGAAACGAACTGAGCCGAACCGTGGAACTGGTTTGCGTCGAAGCAACTTGATGAACACTGACCCTTCAAGCTTCATGGGTTTTCCCGCCTTGCTAGCGGCATTTCCCCGAGGTCCCTTCCCTCCGTATTCACTGGCATGCGCAGAGGAAAGCTGCTGCTGCGGTTAGTGACGGCCATTCTGGAGTCCCCTACCCCCTTGATATCAACACAGCTCACCCACTTACAACCATTGCGACATCCCTGCGCAAGCAGTGCCTGATCTAGAAACCCCATCGCACCTCATGGAAGGGTCGTGGGCGTATTGGCTTTGATATCCGAAGTCGAGCTGGAAATGTCTTAGCTCTAAGTACTGAGTTATGGCTGGCTTGAAACCCTCACCTAGTATTTTGTCGATCATGGTCAGTCCAATTCATCCGCATATAGACACCCTTAGCATGGCATGACCGTTCTGTCCCTGGTTTCACAAGTCTGGCAATATGCTCGTGGTTACGTCGACCTCTCACCTGACTCTATGGTCCGTCACGTCTCCCTCTGGCTGCTTCCTCGAGCGGGCCGGCCTTCGCAGGCGAATTCGTTCAAAAGATGATTTTGAGGCACTACATGGGATAGACGAAGGTCTGCCTCGCAGCCATGTTCTACTTCTTTCTCACCGCCGGTTCACTGCTCAGCAGCCATGTGCTAGCCTCCCCAAGCCCACGGGCAACCACCACCACCACCGCCGACGTGTTGAACTACACATTCCCTGCTGGCGCGAACTGGCCCGAGCCCCTTCCTATCACTGGGGACTGGTTCTTTGTTCATGATCCCAGCATGATCCAGCGCGAGACGGACAGCAAGTACTTTTTGTTCACCACACATGATAAGGCAGGAATCATTACCTCCAACTCCCTCTCTGGGTATGTATGGTGCTTTCTGCGTTGTTCGTTTATGTACTCATGTCAAGTTTGCTACCACTAGTCCATACGCTGTAGTGGGGTCTGTGCTCCCAGACAATTCCTCGATCGACCTACGTGCGTGTTTCCACATCGTTTTGACTTCCGCAGTCTTTCATATCCTACTGTAGCGGGGAATAACGATATCTGGGCTCCCGATGTACACTTTGAATACGGAGAATATTACTGCTTTTATGCTGTCTCTACCTTTGGTTCCCAGGATTCGGCTATCGGTCTCGCAACCAGCAAATCCATGGATCCTGGTACCTGGATTGATCATGGCGAGGTATGGAATTCGGTTACCGGTGATGACTACAATGCCATCGACCCAAACTTATTCTTTGACGAACATGATAAACCCTATCTCGCTTATGGTATGTCATTCATGTCGATTGTGAGGCCGTCTGACAAATACGCCCTCGGGAAGGCTCATTTTGGGGAGACCTGTTCCAAATCCCGCTTACACCAAACCTAATGGCTGGAGTCGGTACCCCACAAGAAGTCTCGTTGAACTCCTCAGACACACATGCCGAGGAGGGCTCTTTCGTTTACAAGCACGACAACTATTATTATCTCTTCCTATCTGCTGGTTCGTCCGAAATTTGATTCCTATCTATCCTGACATGACCGTTACTGCATCCTAGGCATCTGCTGCGGGTTCGTGGAGGACGATTTACCTCAGGCGGGGACGGAGTATCATGTTGTAGTCGGGCGATCTGAGTTCGCACACGGCCCGTTCGTCGACGCTGACGGCGTCGCACTCCTCGATTCTGGCGGAACCATCATCCTCGGCTCGCACGGCCGTGTGTATGCGCCCGGCGGACAAGCGATCTTCGTCGACAAGTACTATGATTCGAAAGTGCAGAGCTTGCAGGAGCGTGAGGTTTTCGTGTACCACTATGTGCCAGCGGATGGCGTCAGCCCGTATAACGACAGCTATTCGAGTCTGGGTCTGAATGGGATAAACTGGAGCTCAGTAAGTGATTCTAGCATACGTTCTGCAGAAGGAGGTGTTCAATTAAACGAATGAATTCAGGGCTGGCCGGTATTGACGAACCTTAATGTTTGATTGATGGCAATATAACTATTTCCAAACCGCAGCGCTTGTTCAGATTTACAGAACTCGAAGTTAACGTCCGTTTTTCAGTTCACAGGAACCTGGTGGCCATTTGAAAAAGCATAGGGAGACTTCTGAATGACGTGGGTAGCGCCTCTTCCAGCATTCCGTAGTACAAGCTGTGTCCGGCGCCAATCATGCTCCATCAACATATACTTTCGCCCGCTGCAAAGCGTAAAGTCAATCCGCTTATCAATTTATACACAGGCCAGCTTATCCATGTCCGCTCAATATATGTGTCACGCCATCGTCCTATCATGGAGCACAGCAACTGGCGCTTACGGTCTAGTAATGCATTGACATATGCTCCATCTACATCATGGCCCTAAATTCGGGGGACCAAGCTATGCCGCCGAGTCCTCGTTAAAAAGGTGATCTCTTTCGACGTGAGATGACGGCACGTTCGGACCCATTTTATGATGTACTCTCTCACTCTGCTTAGTTTACTCCTTGTCTCAGTTCTCACTGCTGAGGCCCTCCCAACTACTACTACTACCGCTGATGGATTGAACTACACTTTTCCTGCCGGTGCTCACTGGCCTGATCCCCTTCCTATTACTGTCAACAACTACTCCTACATCCATGATCCCAGCATGATCAAGCGTCAGTCTGATGGAAAATATTTCCTGTTTAGCTCTGGCAATTCAGTGGGAATTCTTTCCACCGATTCGCTCTCAGGGTGAGCATGTTATGCATGTCTATCTACTAGGTTGTCGAAGCTGACGGTGAATAGACCATATGCATTGGTGGGCTCTCTACTTTCGAACAGCGTAGCTCGTATGTGCCTTTCTCTTTATCAGTTCCATAGAAATGATTCTCATTTTCTACGCCTAGCCCCAGGCGAGGCTTGGGCACCGGATGCGCATTATGAGAACAATCAATTTTATTGCTACTATGCTATCTCCACTTCCGGGTCCCAGAACTCAACCATCGGCGTCGCTACTAGCGATTCCATGGATCCGGGAACCTGGACGAATCAAGGCAAAGTCTTGAGCTCTAACACAAATGATACCTACAACGCAATTGACCCAAATCTGTTTTTCGACGGAAACAACACACCGTATCTCTCATTCGGTATGGTTCAACTTGAATTCACTGAGCAGCCCACGCTGATGCATAGCATCTCTCAGGCTCTTCTTGGGACGACATTTTTCAGATACAGCTCACTTCCAACCTATCGGCAACGGCCGGCTCTCCGAAGCAAGTAGCCCACAACGCGACCAAGAACCCAGAGATTGAAGAAGGTTCTTTCGTCTGGAAGAACGGCAACTTTTACTACCTCTTCTTCTCCGCTGGTCCGTGTAATCGTTTCATTATCCGAATTCAATGCTAAAATGTTTCCTTGCCCAGGTGACTGTTGTACGTTTTCAGCTAGTAATCTGCCTGCACCCGGGGGAGAGTATCATGTTGTCGTTGGCCGATCAGAATCTGCCCACGGGCCGTTCATTGATCAGGCAGGTGTACCGCTACTTCAAACCGGCGGAACGACCATTCTGGGCTCCCATGGACGCGTGTATGCGCCTGGTGGAGAATCTATCTTCACCGACACGTATTATAACAGCTCAACATCAAGTTGGCAAGAACGTGATATTTTCGTGTATCACTATGTACCCGCAGACGGCCCCCACCCGTATAATACAAGCTATGCGGACTTGGGGCTGAACGGGATCGACTGGAGCACAGTGAGTACTTATCTGCTTTAGAGTATTTGAAGGGATTGCTGTGGACTCAACTCGCGAACAGGGTTGGCCCGTCCTAACGGAGCTACAGGTGTAGACATGGTTGTCCTCGAACGTGACTGCGTTTCCTTTTTATATAATTACATGTCTCTAAATTGTGAACACCTCCGTGTGCAGACTTCTTCCTCCTAAACCCATCCCCCTAGTAACCCCCAGCAGGGCAACTGCGTTGCGCGTTTCTGTCATCAGGGATTCTGGTCCTGCAACACAGATGGCTACGCCACTGCCGAGAGCATGTGCCGGGGGCATAGTCCCGTATGGGATTGATCTTTCCAGAACATCGACATTGGGCCATGCCACAATATTGCGTAGGACATCGCGAATAGGAGGCCGTCCCGCAATAATTGTCGAGTTGGGAATGATGTGCGAGTCTTGTGGACCTGAGAGATTAGTCAAGAAAATGGAGAAGTGAATATCAAAAGATGTCTCTTCTGCTGCTGATCCCAGCCTAGTAAGCATATCCGAGAACCAATTGATGCACTCTGTAAACAGCTAGTTCATGATGTGTATATTGTGAGCACAAAAGAGCTTATCTCACCATACTCACAGATGTGCCATATAAACTCAATGTGCTTGGTCCTCTTGCCATTTTGCTTCCCAAGGACCAGACATCGTGTCACTATGCCGTCCAACATGCCCAGAGTGAATGTTGCTTCAGAACCACCTGTTAAGGGACCTGACGACTGGGGATCAGGAGTTCAACTTGAAAACAAGA